GATAATAAGCCCAACTGGATCTGTGTCATAAATAATTTTTTATATTTTTACAATAACGTCACAAAATATGACCATTCTCTGTCCTCACTCCAACTACCTCCATGTCCTCTCTGACTGCATCCATGTATCTCCTTTTTGTATTTTTCCTGGTAGCAGCATTTCTAACATCCTTCTACCAATATACCCACGGTCCCTCCTCTGGACATGTCCAAACCATCTCAGTCTGGCCTCCCTAACTTTATCTCCCAGTTGTTCAACCTGTGCTGTACCTCTAATGATCTCATTCCTAATCTTATCCATCCTTGTCACTCCTAAGGAGAACCATAGCATCTTCATTTCTGCCACTTCCAGTTTTGTCTTCTGTCTTTTTGTCCATGTCTCTGTCTCCAGACCATAGAACATAGCTGGTCTCACCACTGTCTTGTAAACTTTTCCTTTGACCTTTGCTGACACTCTTTTGTCATAAATCACTCCTGAAACTTTTCTCCATCCACTCCATTCTGCCTGGACACTCTTCTTCACCTCTTTACCACACTCCACATTTTCCTGGACAGTGGACCCCAAGTACTTGAAGTCCTGCACCTTTGTGACCTGTGTTCCTTGTAGCCTCACTGTTCCACCAGCCTCCCTCTCATTTACACACATGTACTCTGTTTTACTACGGCTGATTTTCATTCCTCTTCTTTCAAGTGCATACCTCTACGTCTCCAAGTTCTCTTCCACCTGTTCCCTGTTCTCACCACAGATCACAATATCATCTGCAAACATCATCGTCCATGGGGATTCTTGCCTGACCTCATCTGTTAGGTGGTCCATCACCAGAGCAAACAAGAAGGGGCTCAGAGCTGATCCTTGATGCAATTCCACCTTCACCTTGAAGCTCTCTGTCACTCCTACAGCACATTTCACCACTGTCCTGCTGTCCTCATACACGTCCTGTACCAGTCTAACATACTTTTCTGCCACTCCAGATTTCCTCATGCAATACCACACCTCCTCCCTTGGCACTGTCATATCCTTTTTCTAAATCCACAAAGACACAATGGAGTTCTTTCTGACCCTCTCTGTACTTCTCCATCAGCATTCTCAAAGCAAAGATGGCATCTGTGGTGCTCTTTCTTGGCATGAAACCATACTGTTGCTCACAGTCACCTCTCGTCTAAGTCTTGCTTCCACAACTCTCTCCCAGATCTTCATTGTGTGGCTCATGAACTTAATTCCCCTGTAGTTGCTACAACTCTGTACGTCACCCTTGTTCTTAAAAATGGGCACCCGCACACTTCTTCTCCATTCCTGAGACATGTTCTCACCCTCATATATGCCATTGAATATTTGAGTCAAAAACCTCACTACCATCTCTTCAAGACATTTCCAAACCTCCACTGGTATGTCATCAGGTCCTACTGCCTTCCCCTTCTTCATTCTTTTCAGAGCTTTCCGGACTTCATCCTCACTAATCTTTCCCACTTCCGGGTCCACAGTTTCTATGACCTCTACTCTTCTTTCTCTTCATTCATTAGCTCCTCAAAGTACTCCTTCCATCTTCCCATCACACTCTCCTCACTTGTTAGAACATTACCATTCCTATCTTTAATTAGCCTAACCTGCTGCACATCCTTTCCAGCCTGATCCTTCTGTCTTGCCAATCGGTACAAGTCCTTCTTGCCCTCTTTAGTGTCCAGTCTCCCATACAACTCATCGTACGCCCTCTGCTTTGCCGCTATTTCCCTCTTTGTTCTACGTCCAATCTCCTTAGATTTCTGTCTCCTCTCTTCAGTCATCTCACTGTCATATTTCTTCTTGGCTAATTTCTTTCTTTGAACGGCATCCTGCCCTTCACTATTCCATCACCAGGTTTCCTTATCATCCATTCTCTGTCCAGATGACACACCAAGTACCTTCCTACCTGTCTCTCTAATTACTGTTGCTGTAGTAGCCCAGTCATTTGGAAGCTCTTTCTTACAACCCAGAGCCTTTAACAGCTCCTCTCAGAATTTCTCACAACATTCTTCCTTCTTCAGCTTCCACCATTTGGTTTTCTTCTCTGATTTTACTCTTTGTCTCTTCTTCACAACAACAGTCATTCTACACACAACCATCCGATGCTGTTTGGCCACACTCTCCCCTGCCACAACCTTACAGTCCCCAATCTCCCTCAGATTTCCTCTTCTACACAGAATGTAGTCAACCTGCGTACTCCTTCCTCCACTCTTAAAGGTCACTCTATGTTCCTCCCTCTTTTGGAAATAGATATTGACTATAGCCATTTCCATTCTCTTGGCAAAACCCACCACCATCTGTCCTTCCTGGTTTCTTTCCTTGACACCAAACCTACCCATCACTTCCTCATCCCCTCTGTTTCCTTCACCAACATGTCCATTCAGGTCTGCTCCGATCACCACTCTCTCCTCCCTGGGAATACTCTCTTATCACTTCATCCAGATCTTTCCAAAATGTATCTTTCTCCTCCTCATCACATCCAACCTGTGGAGCATAACCACTGACGATGTTTAGCATCAGACCTTCTACTTCTACCTTCAGACACATCATCCTATCTGACACTCTTTTCACCTCTACTACAGTTTTTGCCAACTCCTCCTTCAGGACCACCCCTACTCCATTTCTCTTTCTATCCACACCATGGTAAAACAGTTTGAACCCTGCTCCATTGCTGCGAGCCTTGCTGCCCTTCCACTTGGTCTCTTGGACACATAAAACATTTACCTTCCTTCTCTGCATCATGACCATGTGCTCCCTAAACAGGTCTCTCTTGAAAATGAGTTCTAGTGGCTCAATGAGACTAACCTGGATAAATAAAGGCTAAATGAAAAAAAAAAAAATGTCAGCCAGCTCTCTACCTTTGCCTGTCATTGTCCCCACATTTAGAGTTGCAACCCTTAGTCCTACATTCTTCACTTTCCTCTTCTCCCTCTGTCTCCTGACACGTTTCCCTCCTCGTAGTCTTCGACTAACAGTAGCACAATTTCTGCCGGCACCCTGTTTGTCAACAGCACCAGTGGCGGTTGTTGTTAACTCAGGCCTCGACTGATCCGGTATGGTTTCACTTTGATGAACTTGCATTATGGTTTTGGCAAAAGTGTTTTAAATTGGATGCCATTCCTGACACAACCCTCACCATTTACCCGGGCTTGGGACCGGCACAAAAGATACACTGGCTTGTGCTACCTAGTGGCTGGTTTCGCTCCCTAGTGGCTGGTTTAAATAAATGACAGTCAAACAGCTAAAACAATTGTTGTTTGTATAACAACCAATAACATTCAGTTTTGTGTTCGTTTTGGTCCAAGCTTTAAAGAGCCGCTACAGAGGGACCAAAGAGGTGCATGTGGCTCTAGAGCCGCAGATTGCAGACCCCTGGTTTAGAGTTTAGAAACATTGTTTAGAATATTGCAAGAGTGTGGGGTTTAAAATGCTTATGTATGTATATATATATATATATATATACACACACTAAAATAAACTACTAGTTACTACTTGCACTACTATTCCTATTTCACTGTTTTTCACTTGTCGTAGGGCTTCAGGGTACGGCACCCCCGCGATAAATGAGGAACTACTGTATTATTATTCATAGATTATAATTTAATTTTCATGTTTTATAGTCAGCCTTACTTAGGGCTATTTAGTCAATATCTACCAAAATGCTAAATGCAGACATTTGCCAGTTTTGGTAATGCTACAGTGTAACAAGGTAATGTGACCAGTTCATACTCTATAGATGTTTTACATAACTCTATGGCTTCAACTTCCTGGTTTCAGTCAGAGCTTTAGTTATGTACAGTCTTTACCTGAAACCAGTAGAACAGTTCTGGAATATTTTGGGTGTAGACCCAGAGCAGTGAAACTATTGAGAAAAACAAAAACAAAAAAAAAAAATTCTGAGGAATGTCACGGTCATCTCCCTGGAAACTCGCGCAACACTAATATTATCTATGGTGAACATCACTACATTTAGTATTATAGGCCAGTCATGACATGTAAAATGACAGATTTCAATTTTGAACTGTTTAAGAATGTTTTCACAAACTCAAAAGTCTGTAAGAGACGCTGAGGAACATTTCAAGGGTAACTTTCCCACTTCAGAAGATGATAAAAGCAGCATTATTTGTTAATGATTGTCAAAACTGTTTCAGTAAATGTCCTTAGTGAAGGTTGTTGATTATTCAGAGAATTCTCATCCACAGGAATGAAGACCAGTGGACATTACAGGGCATCAATTTTAAGGTTTTGTAATATATATATATATATATATATATATATATGCATTGTTGCTGCTCACTAATTTATCACAAGCCTGAACTGTGAGACAAAACAGCCAACCTGTCAAAAACAAACAAGAAGCAAGCAAGTGTATAAGTGCTCTGAAAAGGTTTTATTATAAACTCATTTGGAAAATGTTTCAAAATCCCAGAAATTGGATCAGTTATTGGTGATGTTAAACATTTTGTACGTGCCATGCATCGAGAAGACAATACATCACAGCAAAAACCACCTTTCACATCACTAAACACGCTCCCAAGTGCCAATTCACCTTTAATATTTACAGTAAGCACTGACTGTTTTCAGTACTCTTCAAAAAAAAAAAAAAAAAAAAAAAAAAAAAAAAAAGTTGGACTAACGTTGGACAACCAACAGATTTCTGAACGCGATAATTTCTTTACTGCTTAATGCTTCAGAAAAAAAAAAAAAAGCATTGAGTGTTGAAATGATTTGGCATCTGATTAAAACGTGATCTGCTCATTATGCGGGATATGATTGAGAACTGTCGGCAAGGTTACAAAATAATAATAACAATAATAATAAAGGCAGAACATTTAATTCTGACATCATGACAACAACGCTGGGAGCAACTTGAGAAATGAACATTCGTTGTCATGACGCTTACATTCAGATCGTGGTCCCCTGGGATCATCAGACATGGCTCCCCCCCCCCCCCCCCCCCCCATCAACAAAACCACCAAGTCAAGCTCTTAAGAATCCCCACTATTACACAATTTACATATATTTAAGTAACACATAACTACACATAAATAGTGTTAAGTACCCCTAACATTTTGTTTAGACTATGAGCCTAAAATTCCAGTGAGGTATTGATAATCTCCAATTTCTGGTTCATTGTTCACTCGTTCAGCTGGCTGGAGCCTGAATATCCACAGTGATGTAAGTGTACAATTTATGCTTCACAGTTTCCTTCACAGAGTACTGAAGGGAGTTAATCCCGTCTGTTTTCATATTCCGCCTGGTTTGGCCAAGTTTGTCAGGATTCTTTGGGTTAGGCTCATTGTGCAGGTCTCTTTGGTGCTTGACCATCTTGTATTTCCCAGTCACGGAATCTGGTCGAGAAACTTGCATCCCACTGTAGACGATTCGACCGTAAATATCGTCGTCCTCGCCACCCCAGCCCCAGTAGGAGTTTGGGAAGCCATTTATCTTCTCAAACTGCTGCTTGGACAGCGATGACACCCCACCGAAGAAGTTTTTGTAGGGCAAGCGGAAGTTAAACTTGTCCATCGCCACAGCCAAGTGTCTGGGCTGGTTGAAACACCTGTACAGGTTACGGTCGTCAAGAGGAACCAGGTCTATGTCCGAGAAAACAAAGCACTCGTAGTCGTAGTCCTTTAAGGCTTCCTTGTATCCTGCGTTCATGAGTTTGGCCCGGTTGAAGACACCGTCTCCATCCTGGTTGATGACATACACCCCATAATCCAGCTGCTGTCGGATCAAGACGGGATGGAGGTAAAAAAGCCAGTGTATCAGGTGCTCGTGGCGATTTCGGAACGGGATGATGATTGCCACCTAAAAAAACAAAAAAAAACAAAAAACAGTTTCATATCATCATTATGTATTAAAATTAGATATGGTCATTATGATTATCATGACAAACAAGGCTTTGAAGGATGTCAGAGGGAAGAGTGGTTCAATTCATTTCAGTTTATTTGTATATCGCCAAGTCAGAACACAAGTCGTCTCAGGGCGCTGTAGAAACATTCATATAAAAAATAAGTTAATAATGTTATTTATCCGAGGAGCAGACTGCTGCGAGTCTTAACTTCATCGCAGACTCATATTGAGCAAGCATGAAGGCGACAGGGGAAAGGAAAAACTCCCTCATGAGGAAGAAACCTTTAGCAGAACCAGGATCAGGACAAGCGGCCACCTGCTTCGCTGGGTTTGAGAGGAATAGATACACAATGGCAGGTCCAGAATCACATGTTCAGATAGAAATAATTTAAAATGTAAACTATTTATTTTTATGCATTTGTAACTATTAATTTTAAGAAATAAGGTCAAATTTTCCTCCAGTAGTCTGAGCCTATGGCAGCATACTTCAATTAAATTCAATACAAAAATACTTCATTAATCCCAAAGGGAAATGAAATGTTGTTGCATCTCATCATCCTCGTTTCATTAAGAGATGTTCTAGATGCTGATGGCTGTAGGCAGGAAGGATCTCTTGTAAAGGACCGTCCCACAGCGGAGCCGAAGAAACTGGATGCAGATGCCGTCCGATCCGTCCACCCAGACTCGGCTGGCCTCTCGGTTCCTCTGGGCTGAACTCCTCCCACAGCAATGGCCACGCCTCCCAACAGCCTGCCGAGCTCCATGGCACTATGGACAGCCGGCTGCAGGTGCCAGGGGAAGATCCCGGTCCTTTTGTCGTCACGAGCCACGTTTCCTGCCATTTCCAGGATCTCAGCAGTCAGACACTCTAGCACAACCGACAGGTAGACGGGAATGCATCTACGGTGCCTCCTTTTCAACTCATTTGAAACTTGGGGTTGTAGCTGAGCTATTATTTGAGCTTTTGAGATATTAATCAGCTGCTCCCAGTTGTTAAAAAGAAAAACAACAAGCAAACACCTTGTTGCCATGGTTACGCATCATAACAAATGTCCAAAACTAAAAACGTTTGAGTAAAAATCCTTCCAGTTGCACATCATTTGGTACCAGAGGAAGCAATCATCTAAAAAAAAAAAAGTGATTTAATCCAGAATAAAGAGGAATTAAAGTTTCCAAAAGCAAAATCTCAGAATGAAAGTAACAGAGCTGCTCCAACATGCTGCCACCCCGAGCAACATAATTTTAGAATAACAAGCCGACTCTAACTATAGGATTTATCAAAAAGGAAAGTCTTAATCCCAGTCTTAAAACTGGACAATGCGTCAGCCTCATGGACAGAAACTGGAAGTTGGTTCCACAAGAGAGGAGCCTGAGAACTGAAACATCTTCCTCACATTCTGATTTTGGAAACTCTAGGAACCGCGAGTAAGCCTGCAGTCTGAGAGCGAAGTGCTGTAAAGCTTAAAAAATAAAAAAAATAAAAACAAATGATGTTGTCTGCATTACAATACAGGACTTGTTGTGTCTGGTTCACTAAAGTCACAAGCAGAACATTTTATTCCGATTCATTTCAATAATTTCCAGCTGGATCATTAAAGTTTATTAAAGTATTCTTATTCTTATTTGCAGTTTAAGGTCAGATATTTCAGTTCAGATGTGGTGCTCCCTTTAAATACATTAAAAATTAGCATACTTTTTAAACAACTATCTACACTTTATGGACAGCGGTTTAGCAACGATTATAGGAAATCATTTAAAGTTTAAATTTACAGCTATTCAAGTTCAAGTCAAGTTTATTGTCATTCACATCACATGTGGTACATGAGGTGGAACGAAATAGCATTTTTATCTGGCTTAGATGATTAATTTCTAACTTGAATTATTCGAGACATTTAGATTATTTGTTCCCCAATGTATAAAGGGACCTTATAGGATAATAAACGGAATCATCTCAGTTATTAAAAGAACTATAAAGACTTTTAATTCTTGATGGAATCCTGAAAAAAGTTTCAAACTGACTAAGAAGAAAAAACTGGTTAAAGTTTACCATAAAAGTTAATGAAAAATCCACAAATAACTCACTAAAAGTGCCAAAACAGGTAAATCAGTCTTAAGAGGAAACTTTACTTGAGGGCAGTGGCAATTTTAGCCTCTTTTTGGGGGGTGCTCAAGCTAGCACCCCTAAATTTTAATTTGGCGCCCTCATTGCATTTATTTATGATTCAATGCAACAACCTGAACAAATTAAAAAGTTAACAGATCATTGTAATACTTGGTTTATTTACATAATGACTTTAATTACTGGATGTCCGACCCCTGAGCTGCTGGCTCTCAGTAACTGTGGCCCCCACGAGCAGCTTAGTTGAACTTCCTGCTGTAGAGGGTGGAACACACTTTATTCCATTTCCAAAACCTAAACTGAGTCTGGACAAATGTAAAAGTTGATAAAGTTGATAAAGTCCTGCGGCCGACCTCATGAGCAGCTGAATACAACAGTGATAAACAGGAAGCACCACATGTTCATCTGTACGAAGGCAACTGCAGGTACGCTTAAAAGTTAAATTAAAGGTTAACGCTTAAAACTAGTTGTGCTTTGTTTTGTGCGTTTTAAATGTAGAAATATGTTGTAACGTCCGGTTATATAAGTTTAGTCTTTGTTTGTTATGATCAGTTAACCCGATTTTGTACAAAGCGTTTATTAGGCTGTGCAATGTAAAGCAGAGCGCTACGTCTGTAGCATCTTAGCTAGCACGTCCGCTACTTCTTGTTGCGCCATTAACTCGAAAGTAGTTACCGAATCAAGTGTTGACTTATGTAGATAAACGTAGATGTTTAACAACCCATTAAAATACATCAAAATGCAGGACAAGGCATATACCAATCACCCCCCCCCCCCCCACACACACACACACACACACCTACACACAACCACCACCATGGTATGCCCCCGTCCCCCCACATTATGAACGCTTCTGATGTCATGGCCACCATGTTGTTCAAGCAAAGAGCCATTGTCAGCAATGGGGGCTATAAGCGCCCCTAAAGGTCAGATTCTAGAACCGCCCCTGCTTGAGGGCCTTTTATTTTTATAGGCTTTCTGAAACGTACAGTCAAGAGCTAATTTACTTAAATGTGACTGAAACGTTTGTTTAAATGTCTGGTGTCTTTACCTTCTGCTGTGAGGTGCAGTCTGGGGGCTTGTAGCGTCCTCCCTCCTGCAGAGGAGGTCCAACAGCATCGATGACCTCCTCCAGACTCTGCTTCTTGAACTCCACATGGAGGGGGCCCACCAGGCCCGGGGGCGTTTCCGGACACTTCTCCAAAGTGTTCTGCGAAGAGGCCATCACTTTGCTCCCCGGGGTCACCTTGGCCTCCTGAGAGCTGTCCCACCGCTTCCACGAGAACTTCATGCTCGTGCTTGTCTGGGTGTCCTGGCTGCTCCTGACGCTCCACACCATCCCCACTCCACTTTCCACGGAGCGTGACACGGCAGCAAAGGCTCGGGAGCCGTTCCCGTACAGAAACAAAGAAAACACCAGCAGGCTGATGAAGACAAAAAGTGACAGCAGAGATAAAAGTATCTTCATCATTATTTTTTTTTTTTATCTTTACTGCCCCAGGAGTTGAGCGCTGTACTCGGAACTGCCCGTTTCCACTTCTGGTGTCAGCATTTCCCTTTGCAAGTCAAACTGGTTTTAAAAACACAAGCAACCAAACCGGTTTGTCCATTTCCGCGTGCAACTTCCTTATTCAACTTAATCAGGCTTCTGTTATTAACTACATATATATTTATTTTTTCCTCATACCTGTATGAGACAATTCTCAGATTGTGACTTTAAATACATTTATCAGTTTATTCTGTTAATTCTTTTTATAAGAATCTTGCATACAAATGCCTCTAGAGACAAATAAATAATGCATTTAAACGGACCAACTTCTCAAACACAACTTTCCCTGAAAATAAGCACGAGTTTAAAGTAAAAGCAAAACTTTAATAATTAGCAGCAATAAAATGATTCGGTTTATAAAGAAAACTTCGGCGCATACGTGTTGTTAGTCTGCCCCCTGCTGGCCAGTTATGTGTAGTGTTGAGAATAAAAAAACAGCTGATGAGACTGAAAACTCCCTAAAATAAAAATAAAAAACTCAAAGTTGTGATTTCTGAAGGGGATCTTCATCCAGTGCCATGAGTTGAAACAGTTCCCACAAAATGATGGTTTTCCGCAGAAAATGAAAACCATAGGGAACAGGAAGGAGACGTCTTACATTAGATTCCTACTCTAGAATAAATAAGGTTTGACTAAGCTCATCATCTGTAGATGACAAGAAAAAAGTTTAAATCATGTCATCTGGACCAGTTTCTTCAGAATATCACCGATAAGCTCACGTCGCTTTTGCTCCAGTGAGAAGACTAGTCCGAAATGTTTCCCTGCTATCCAACATAAAGATGTCTGTTTCTGTATGAATAATAATAATAAAAATAAAAAAAAACATGATCTCGTGTAGGAAAAGAGTAATAATTTGTCGTCCACTCTGTGATTTAAAAAAAAAACAAACAAAAAAACAGGAACTGAGAAGAGAGCAAGCACTTTTTACTGTTTTATGATAAACCACGAGAAGATGTTTAAAGTGTCCTCAAATCAGAGATAAGAGATAGGTTTTTTTTGAAAAGTGTACTTTTAAACAAGGAGTATTTGGTTGTAACACAAATTAAATGAATATATATTTACTATCAGCTTGTCTAACGAAAGGCACACACGTCGTCAGCTGAGCACGACGTCAGCAGATCCACAGACACAGCAGCATCTGTTTCAGCTTTGTGGCAAACCCTTCGGTATGAGGTCAAGTTCTGTCTCTCCATGTATTTTTATTGACAAGGACGGCTTTAAAGAAACTGCAGCAGATTAAAATGGACTCTTGCAGAATTAGTTCTCATTTCCATTTAAGAAGCTCCAGATTGAAACAAACAAATGTTTTCTAAATGTAATTTTTTTTTCAAGACTTTGAAAACGTGTTGAAAACATTTCTATACTAAAACTTTTTTTTTTTTTGCCTACAGCTGATAACAGACTACCATATTTTTTTGGACTATAAGGCGCATTAAGTGAAACAAAACAGATAAGTCAAACTTTATTCAACTCGTTCACAATAACCACATAAAATCAATTCAAGGTCAATAAGTACAACCAGAATTAATGCATGTGGCGCACCTGATTATAAGTCTCACTGTCAATTTTTGAGAAAATTAAAGGATTTTAAGTGCGTCTTATAGTGAGAAAAAGGACTAACTCAGTCAGCTTTACAGATACAGAGCTAATTAACATGGTAGTAGCTGAGAGTCATTCACAACACGTGATCTGAGAGTGGTGTCTCACAATATTTTATCAGATTGTGCATAAGATTATTGTAGAGATTTAACCATAATGCTTCTAACTTTATTTTTTAAACACAATGATCTCAGTCTAAAACTCAGGTTAATATTATTATATTCTATTTGCTTTAGGTATGTAAAGATCAAGACGTTATTTATGGCCGTCTGAGTCCTGACATCATACGTTGGCTTAAGTGACTGAAAATACACCATACCAGTTTATTTATAGCGCACTTAAAACAGCAATAAGGCCAACCAAAGTGCTGTACAATAGAAACAAACAAGCACAGCGGACAGGAAAACATAAAATAAAAATATAGATACAAATAGCAGTGGATAATAACTAAATGGCCAACACTGTAGACTACAGATAGGATCAAAACAAATCACACCGTGTCAAAGGCAAGGGAATAAAAGTGGGTTTTCAGGCGAGACTTAAAGACTGTGAGTGTGGAAGCCTGCCTGACACGCAGTGGCAACTCATTCCACCGTCTTGGACCTGCAACAGAGAAAGCCCTGTCGCCTCTGAGCTTGCGATGGGTTTCTGGAACTGAAAGGAGCCTCTGGTCTGCTGACCTCAGAGAGCACGGTGGGACATATGGCTGTAGAAGATCAGTGAGATAAGATGGGGCAGAACTGTTCAGTGATTTAAAAACATGCTTGAGTATTTTGAACTGGATCCGAAGGTGAATGGGGAGCCAGTGCAGGGAGGCCAAAACTGGTGTAATGTGCTCTCTATGGCCTGTACCAGTTAAAAATTGGGCTGCAAAATTTTGGACCAGTTGTAGACGTGCAATGGAGGATTGATTGATTCCAAACAGAAGCGCGTTGCAGTAATCGAGCCTGGATGTTATGAACACATGGATCACTGTCTCAAGATTGTTTTTGAACAGTATGGGCTTCAGCTTAGACAACTGCCTCAGCTGAAAAACCCCCAGGATTTAACAATCATGTTTACGTGACTGTTAAGTTTCAGGGAGGGGTCCATTATCACTCCCAAATTGGTGACTCTTTGTTTCTCTAACGGAGCTAGAGAGGAAAGGTCAATGCAGTGGTTCATGGACGTGCCATTGGGATGGAACAAGATGACTTCAGACTTCTTCTCGTTGAAACTTAAGAAGTTTAAAGCCATCCAGTCCCGGATGTCAGCCAGGCAGTCAAGAAGTGGTTGAATAGAGCGTGTGCCTCTGTGCATCAGGGGGAAGTAAATTTGACAGTCATCGGCGTAGAAATGAAATGGTATGTTGTGATTGCGGAAAATAGCACATAATGGCAGCAGATATAAAGAAAAGAGAAGCGGGCCGAGGATGGACCCCTGCGGTACCCCCCACTGAAGCACAGCAGATGCTGAACTGAATCTTTGATACTGACACAAAAGGCTCTGTCAGAGAGGTAGGAACTAAACCAGTTGAGGGCTGACCCTGTGATGCCCACCCACCGCTCTAGCCTAGAAATGAGTATCCCATGGCCGATGGTGTCGAAAGCAGATGTGAGGTCCAATAGGACAAGCAGCACAGACTCACCTGCATCAGTGGCTAGGAAAATGTCGTGAAAAATATATGAAAGCTGACCTTTCAAATCCACGAAGGAAGGCAAAGTTAGCTTTTAACCTCATTCCTGACTCTGTCGTAGTTGATCGCTTGACATATAAGAAAAATGGATAAATTACATTTATTGGAGTTACCAAATGGAATAAAGTTGAAATAATTCAGTTGATTTTACAGGATTTAGGTGAGCATATTTTTCATGTACAAAATGCACCTTTACATGACCAGTTTCATCCCAATTTTAGCGTGCACAAAAAATTGTGTTAAAAGACTCGACTGATCTATAAATGTCCATTTCAAAACCAGTAAACGCACTGAGATATGTGAGGTGTAACCTCTTTTTACTTTTGATAGGTGTTTGTTTCAACTTCCTGTTTTGGAGAGCAGACAACATTCTTTACAGTAAAATAAAAAAATATAATAAGAAAAAAGTTTTCTGAGTGTAGTTGGACTTGATTCATTTCATCACCTTTATGGGAGTAAAGGAATATTTATGTGTGCAATAATATCTAATAACACTAGATGGTGGTGATGCATCATGGGTAGACAAACATGGCAGTAAAGGAAATCTCATTTTCTTACACTTCATGTCTATAAAAAGAAAATTAGCTTAATTTTCCCAATTTTTATAGTTGATATTATTGTTTAAGATTGTGCGTTCAGTCTCCAATAGGAAGACGGAGTTTTGTTCCGATGAGCGGTACGTGAAAATTAAATAAACACATCCCCTTAATAAGACTCTTAACGAACACTGAAGCACTCGACAGTTCATTTATTTTTAATTGGTTATTTAGACAAAATCAGACCCATAAAGCTTTAAAAAATAAAATTCTGTATTGTTTTTAAATAGCCCACTTCCTGCTTGATTCAGGTTTGAGTAAAAACGAGTGAAACAAATTTTGGACACAAAGGGGGAACTCTTATTGGAGGTAAACGGAGGCAGGCCGGTGGTGCACTGTGGCCGCACGAGTTGTTGTTGGCGCTCGCAGGCCTTTAAAAGAGGGCGTTTCAGCTGCTGTTGGAGCCTACGCTCAACAGTTTAGACTTAGTGAGCGTGCTTGTGGTGCCAGCTGGACTTTTATGCAGAACTTGTGGAATACATGCAGAATTTCTGTCATACAGCGAACGAGCATGCTTTTAAGTTTTGTTGTTTTAAAGTGAATAACTTACGTTTCCTTAATATCAAAGCAACTGTTCATTAACACCCAATGAGTCAGATTCACATGAGCAGACGGTTCATGACTCTCTGTAATAAGAGCCAGTGAATACCAGGACTTTCTCAACACAGTTTAATCAATTAATTTAGTTATTATTATTATTTTTACACAAGTCTTAATGGTATGCTAAACTGGCTGCATTGCCACATAACACAAAGAACATTATGCAAATTTATGGTGAATGTGACATACAGTATCTAATGTGAAAACAAACAAACAAAAAAGTTTTTGCATGTGTTTGTTTGTACTGTTAGCAAAATATCTTATGAACTGGATGGATTTTTGAGAAGTGCTCAAAATGTAATTACTGGATGAACATCCTGTTTGGTGTTAAGAGGCTACAGATTTGTCGTTTCCAAACACAAGAGCTCTTATTCTGAAACTCTTGAAAGGCGGCGGGTGATGTGCATTCCTTTAAGGAAGCGGACTTAGCTTAGTTGGTTTAGGTTTTTAAAATGACCCATGAAAGGTGTGTCTGCAAGACACATACTACATGACTGCGGGGTGGATCAGTTGGTAAAG